GATTTTCATTTATAGTTTAAGCACTAGTTTTGTCCTTAGACTTCATAGTACTGAAGTTTCAGAAAAATCGTTGGAGCCGATTTAGAGTTATTGAATTTTTGACTAAAACTCGCAAAAATCGACCAAAATCAAATTCCAAATTTCAAAACAAAACTGATATCGCTGGAATCGGATTGATGTCAGCTATCACAAAATGTAATCAGAATTTCAAAATTCCAAAAAATAAAAATTTTAGAAAAATTTTGCAATTTTCGGCCAAAAAATGAAAGCGACAAAGTTTCTAAATTCGCCATTTTTGAACTGCTATCTGCTCAGAAATGTCTCAAGCCATGTATAAATGTAAATATCAGAAAAACCGGTTGAGAATTAACAGAATTATGGTCAATTTTCGTGCACGTTAAAGATTTGAGGCATTTCCACTATGCGCACAAATTTCGTTTTACATTTAAGCACTAACCACCACCCAGTTTCCCCAGAGAAAACCAAACTTCAGACCTCTATCTCTTATAGTTGCTGAGAAATAGGCCCCCCCCAATAAAAAATATATAATAATAAAAATAATATTAATCTTAGTAATAACAATAGTCTTTCACCGAAAGCCTAATAAAACGATGATCAAGCTGAATCTGTGAATACTTTTTAAAACCTTTTTTCTTTTTTCCTTGTGTAACCACATAAATCGTCTTGGCTTAGCTTTTGACAGTCAGTTTATCTCCATTGTCGCAACCAAGAATGAAGAAAGATACATTTGTGTCCATTTTATCAATTTCTAATTCAGTATTTGGTTCAGCGAACAACTGTTGAATGCAAATATATAACTGGACTCGGTGCATTCTATACAGAATTATTTTTACAGCGTGATTATTTGTTTTTTGTTTTTTTAGATGTGCTACAGTCCTGCTTAAATTTTAATATCGTCTTGAATAATTCTTTCGTGGTACCGCAGGTCACCACTCTAACCCATTCTATTATTTACTCTTATGCTCTATTTCGTGGCATTTTACAACCAAAGAGATGTTATCTATTAATTGTTTGCAGTAAAATTAACACAAAACATATAAATCGGCTTCATACAGCATACAGCAATGCATCTTTGTTTAGCTTTTGCGAACGGCGCTCAACTGGACCGTGTGCGAGTTTGGCATATATCGTCAAAAAGAGAGAGAAATAATTCGCTTGCGCGTTGGGGTCTTTAGCAGAGGGAGGAACCCGGAGGACCCAGAGAAAACCCACAAGGTTGGACAGGCGACCCTACTCCGTGTCACGTACAACCGGGGAATTGAAACCACGCCTGTTGACTCAATGACAGACTTTATGGTACAGCGCGCACGTGCTAACCATTCAGTCATCCAACCCCCCTATATCGTCAATAAAACGAAAAAAAAATAATTAAGACATGATATAAAATCAGTAATTTATTACGAATGCTACATGCACCTTACAACAAGAGTGGTATTCAAGAATAGGTTTTCTATTAAAAGTATAAGACTAAAAACCCTGTTTTCCTTAGCATTTACCATGTTAAGATAAATGATGAAAAAGGCCAGACTAAAAATAGACACCAGAAGTACATCGCGCATAAAAGCTCCTATTGTAAACGATTATGAATAGCAGTAATATTTAGCTCTTTGGTTATTACAGCAGCTTTAGAAATTACGTTTGATTTATTTTTGAAATTGCTATATCATTAACTATACCGTTAGGAGCGGCATCTTTTGGTTTAGTACAAATAATATCTCTGGAAAACTCGGGTTAGACAGGAACATGATACAAGCAGTAGTTTCATTTAACTTTTATAAAGGTTCTTAAAACATTTGTTGAGTTGCCTACCGTGCGTGTTTCTAAATTCAATTTCTTGTTCTAGCTTTCTGTCATGTTTCGTAAAAAAGTAGTCTTGATTATCCCGGCCTGTCAGTCAGACAGAGAATGGTCGGTAGACTGGTTCAGCGAGACTAATTTCAAAACAAGGGCACATAACCTATTTTTTGCTCAAAAGTGCCTGTATATTATGGACGACATCCGGAGCCATCTTTCAGTGTATTATTTATGGATGGTTAAATGGTCATAGCTTTTTAGGTATAACATGATCATTTATTTATTAGTGACTTAAAAACAGATTTAATGATTGGTATATATATATATTTATAAATATTGTGGTGTAATTGTCCAGCCATTTGGAGATATTTATTTATGGTGGGGCACCCTATCAATGCCCTCTGTGGACCACCCTACTTTAGCCCTCTATAAATATGCTTTACTGTGAATTGACAATTTTTGATAATAATAAATAATAAATTTGTGTAGCGCTGAGCATGGGTTCCACGTCGGCCGTATATGCTGGTCGAGACCGGCTATGGAAAATGACCGTTCCTAGATCTGACCTAATGGTCATTTTGCACGCCGGAAAGAGGGACTTTTTTAAAAAAAAAAAAAAATTCAAACATGACTACGATCGACCACGATCGACCTTCACTGTGTAACTATACAAGAATGCACGTCGTCTAGAAGCCAATCTCGTGTTTGGTGTTATAGAGTTGTATATACAGTGTATAGTCGTCAACAGATTATACTGAGTGCTGTGTTGATAATTAATGATGAGTGTTTGGTAGTAGAGCAATAAATGTTAATTGATAAGTGGGAATCTAATCAACGGCGTGAAGCAGCCCATTGTTAATCATTCGCGTATTGTCCATGTGTCATAAGAATTTTCAACAACAAAGCCGTTTACCGGTATTACGGTCAGGCACAATGTAAACGAGGTTATTATGATCTTCGAAAAAGGGCAATTGATATGAAGTATTGCTCTTCGAATCATACCAATTGTCATATCAAATAAAAACAGCATAGAAATTACGTAAATCCTCAACAACGGACGTGTTGGAAGAAAAATGCATTTAAAAATAAAATGTTTATAGCGGTATTACGGCCTTGTGGAAATAGTTGAAATAAAATCTAGAGATTAGTTAACTTGCTTACCGAACAATTAAGAAAAATACGTATTCCAGTTCTATTGTGCAGCAATATTGATAATTCCACGTTTAGAAGAAATGTCGTGTATATACGGTTACTCTTATACACGACCATATTCTAGGGGGCGCTAGTGTCGCTAGCCGTGAAGTTAGTTATCTGTTAGTCATTTAGTTATACATTGTTAGGATTTACGTCACAATTCTGCAGCCCGTAATTCCGTAAGAGATGGTCTAAAACCAAAAAAATGTGAGATATATGCCATGGATAATTATATATTTATCTTCATTTCAAAGTTATTGTATTACAACTCAAAATTATCCAGGTCAGTGTGTTTTTTTATAGAGCACGTGTTAATTATGTGTGAGCTACTGAAATGGTTTTTCTCCGGCCAATTCAACTATTTCGTTATTTAAGTAGCCAAAACGGAATATTTAATTATTAAATAATTATCATGAGCCTTACTAATATTTCATTTTGAAGTCAAATATATTTTTTTTGTGCACCCCATGGTGACAAAGTAGTATAGACACGTGAATTCACAATACCCTACCATGAATAAAAAACATGAAATATAAATTTACATTGAAAAGTTTTCGTGCGTTATCAAAAATGACCGGCAGTGAAAATTTTGAAGTGGAAGCCCTGGCGCTGAGTGTTTTAGCTAATACAGTATAAGCTGCTTCAGGGCGCTCTTTACAATTAAAATACATATAATTGAAAACAAAAGTTTTAAAAGTTCAGTTTTAAAATTCTTTTTAAAAACAGCAACATATAGTAGAGTTTTACTTTACATGACTAGGTAATTTGACATTCATGTTTGATGTGACTCCCATTTTTGTGCTCTAGGTTTTAATCTTAAATACCTGACCCTAACCCTAATAGAAAGTAGGAAGTTCCATGTGGACACAATACGGACGGCTAACCGCCAGTTTTTCGGTGTAAAAGTGATGGAAATAGAAAAGGGAGTCTGATCAAACATGATGGCTGGTAATTCATTCAACACATTAGCAGAGACATAAACAAAGGCCCATTCACAGTTTTAGTTTTTACTGTAGGAACATAAAACTTTTATCACCAGAGCGCAGGTTCCTGCATAGTCTCTTTCATCCTAAAAATTATTCTAGGAATAGTAGTCTGGATGTGTGGTCAACATTTAAGAATAATAGGTCATTGGTAGGGTGACCCACCATAAATAAATATCTCCAAATATCTCGACAATTAGGCCACAATATTTATATATATGCCAAGCCTCAAATCAGTTTCACACAATTATAGTCACTAAATAAATGATCATGTTGTACTTAATAAGCTATGACCATTAATCATCTATAAATAATAGACTGAAAACTGGTTCCAAGTGTCGTCCATAACATCCAGACACTTTTGAGTAAAAGATAGGTTACGTGTCCTTGTTTTGAAATTAGTCTCGCTTAACCAGTCTATCGACCATTCTACGTCTGATTGACAGGTCGGGATAATCAAGACTATTTTTTTACGAAACATAACAGAAAGCTAGAACAAGAAATTGAATTTAGAAATAAGCACTTTAGCCAACTCAACAATTGTTTTAAGAAACTTGTAAAAGTAAAATGAAACTATTATTTGTACAAAACCAAAAGATGCCGCTCTTAACGGTACAGCTAATGATAAAGCAATTTAAAAAATAAAACTAACGTAATTTCTAAAGCTGCTGTTGTAACCAAGAAGCTAAATTTTACTGCTATTCAAAATCATCAACAATAGATTTTTTACGGCTGTAATAGTTGATATATTTGTAGAGAATTGCATGTGCCATGGCTATTTATCGACTCAAAGAGAGTGCGAGGTAGTCAGAAATCAGTTCGTTACATGCAACTGAAGCGTGCCCATTTAGCCGTGTCGAGACCAACTTTCTGTAGAGTGCACGGGTCACCCTATCATTGGCTAGATGGTCTTTTACATTATCATAATCAAATTGTAAGGGAGGTAACTCGTCCTAAAACAAAATGAAATTAATTTAAGAATTAAATTATTATATTTTTACTATTCAGGCTATAGCTGATGTGATTCGAACATGTCTGGGACCAAGAGCTATGTTAAAGGTGAGGAAAATATTTAATTATAATTCTTTGAGGTTTAGCTCCTTTATAGATACCAACACAAAACTAATTTTGTCAAAAAAAAGTGTCATAGCTCCATTTCATGAAAATTCATTTAGCTGAACTGTTACAAGAACTGTAATGGGCCCCCACCCCACCCCACCCCACCCGAGGAAAAAGACCCAAAAAATCAAAAGACACCAACCTAATGCGACATGATATAGTCTTGACTTGGGGGTGATAATTTATATGTCCCAGTCTTTGTGGAATCTGTAATTAAAGTGTGTAGGTCATGAAAATAGTTTTAGAAAATTAAGTTTTTAGAAAAGAAGCAATGAGCCTTGTCCAAAAGCAAGAACTGTAGATTGTAATCGATAGGGTTCAGAAAATAAGCATTTTATATATACATGAGTACTGAATACAAATTTGGGGCTAAAGTCCTTTTTATACGTCCACATTCATAATGTGGACGTATATTGCCGTCGCCCCTCTGTGTGTGTGTCGCCTACAGGCCACAATTCTTACGTGATCCTCTAGAAACTTTACATACTTATTCCTTATACCCTAAGAATGATCCCTATTGTTTTTGGTGCATGCCCGACCCCCAGGGGCAGAGCCACGCCCATTGTTTGTATTTGTTTGTCGTCTACAGACCGCATTTCTTAACGTATCATCTTGAAACTTCGCATACTTATTTTTTGTACCCTACGGAACATCCCTATCGTTTGGGGTGCATGCCCAACCCCCAGGGGCAGAGCCATGCCCATTTTCTTTTTGTATGTCTGTGTGTCGCCTACAGGCCACAATTTTTAAGTGATCATCTTGAAACTTTGGATACTTTTTCTTTGTACCCTAAGGAACATCCCTATCGTTTAGGGTGCATGCCCACCCCCCAGGGGCAGACCCACGCCATTTCTTGTATTTGTTTGTTTGTCGTCTACAGGCCGCATTTCTTAACGTATTATCTTGAAACTTTGCATATTTATTCTTTGTACCCAAAGGAACACCCCTATCGTTTTGGGTGCTTGCCCAACCCCCAGGGACAGAGCCACGCCCATTTTCTTTTTGTGTGTCTGTGTATCGCCTACAGGCCACAATTATTCTTAATCGATCATCTTGAAAAAATTTTGTATGAATTCCTCATACCCTAAGGATGATCCCTATTGTTTTTGGTGCATGCCCGTCCCCCAGTGACAGCCACGCTCATTTCTTGTATTTATTTGGTTGTCATCTACAGACCAAATTTCTTAACATATTGCCTTGAAACTTTGCATACTTATTCCCTCTATCCTAAGGAACATCTCTAAAGTTTTTTGTGAATGCCCAACCCCCAGGGCAGAGGCACGCCCATTTTCTTTTTGTGTGTCAGTATGTCACTTACAATTTGCAATGCTTAATCAGTCGTCTTGAAAACTTTTTTATACTTATTCCTTATACCCTAAGGCTGACCTTTATTATTTTTTGGGCATGCCCGATCCCCTGGGACAGAGATTTACGGCCAATGTTTATGTGTCTTGTGTTTCGCCTACAGGCCGCAATTCTTAACAGATCCTTTTGAAACTTTGCATACCTATTCCTTATACCCTAAGGATGACAACTGCATGTCCCGTCCCCCAGGGGCAGAGCCACTCCCAATTTTTGTGTTTATCATTTACAGGCCACAATTCTGAATGGATCAACTTGGTACTTGGCATATGTATTGCTCATAGCCTAAGGGCGTCAATTATTGATTTTGGTGAATGCCCTGACACCCAGGGGCGAAGGCCACAATACTAAATGGACTATCTTGGCATTTGTTATACGGTACTTATTCCTTATACCCTAAGGACGGCAACTATTGATGTTGCCATTTCAATAACAGGGTGGTGCCTATTTATATTGTTCCATATTCAACCCACACCCAATTTTTGTATTTATCATCTACAGGCTGCATTTCTGAATGGATCATCTTGGAACTTTGCATTATTCCTTATACCGTAAAGACAACAACTATTTATTCTGGTGCATGCCCCGACCTCCTGGAGCAGTGTCATACCCACTGCTTAACATAAGCAGACAATGTTCATCATCAAACTCCATCAAGGCATTCACCTAATGAACGCCTACACCAAGTTTGAACATTCTACCTCAATTAGAAGGAGAGTTATTGTGTTCCAAATTCTCGACCAATCAAATTGCTTATCGCTCTGCTTACCCTCAGCAGAAAATGTTATTTATCAAACTTAGTCAAGGTACTGATGTAATAAAGCTTTACACAAAGTGTCCTCACTCTCTCTTACTTAGAACTAAAGTTATCGTGTTCCAAAGCATCAACCAATCAAATTGCTTATCTCTGCTTACCCTAAGCAGACAATTTTCATCTTCGAACTCCATCAAGGATTTCTCCTAATAACACCTAAAACAAGTGTGAACATTTTAACTCAATTAGAAAGAGAGTTATTGTGTTCAAAAGTCTTGACCAATCAAATTGCTTATCACTCTGCTTACCCTGAGCAGAAAATGCTCATTATCGAACTTAGTCAAGGTATTGATGTAATGAAACTATACACCAAGTTTCATCACTCTCGCTTAATTAGAACTAAGGTTATCGTGTCCCAAAGCATAAACCATTGAAATCTCTGCTTACCCTAAGCAGAAAATGCTCATCTTCGAACTCCATCAAGGCATTGACCTGATAAACACCTACACCAAGTTTGAACATTCTAGCTCAATTAGAAAGAGTTATTGTGTCCCAAACACAACAGACGGACGGATGAACACATTTTAATAGTCCCCTGCTTTCTTCAAAAGGCGGTGGACAAAAATGGGAAAGCGAGGCTTTGTGGTTACCACAATGCACACATCTTGTCAAAACTACAAACAGTGATAACTTGGCTCAGAACGGTCAATCACTTTCAGATTTGAAATCACAAGCCATTCAGGCCAGTAGATTACAATGTTTTACAATCCCAAAATTTTGTTTTAAATTCTTTATTCTCTTGAATACAAATATAATGGATTTTCATGTTTATTTTTCGAATCTTCTTACCGAAGAGCTGACTTGTATAAATTCCAGAAAAACTGTTCCTGATGAGGCCTGTAAAGCAAGATTCCATGTCATTTCGTTCCCATGTCATTTCGGACTTGCGACATTTCGGACTCTAAAAATATATGACCTCGACATTTCGGACTCGGGCAGGTGACATCTCGGATTCGGGTAGGTGACGTTTCGGACTAGGGTATAAGTTATAAAGAAAAGTTGAATACAACTGTCAAATCAATTTATAATAAATCAAAAACTATTTTATAATAAATCAAAAACAATTTGAGAAAAATAACATGCGGGTAAAATTTACTGCTCGTCATCAAGTACAGCACTTGGGAGTCGTGAATCATGCACCGTATGGACCTCTTAAGGAATGGCAATATTTCCAGTGTTGAATCTTTATGAAAAGAATGTTTTAGTTCTTTATATCTGTAATATGTATATAAAAAAAGTATCTGATGAATTTATTAGAAATAGGCCAATTCAGAACAGGAAAGAAAATATTAACATGAAACACGTGGTTATTAAAAGGCTCCACCAAAGGATAAAACATTAGTTGCACAGGTAGCTTTGCTTTATACAGGTTGCTTCAGTAACTAACCTGTCACTCTAAATTATCAAAGTCCAATCACCTCACACATTATCCATACATGTTGGTTCACAAACACTCTTTACGTATGTTATTCCTTATGAATATCGTAATATGAAACCTATGGGAATGCCAAAAAGTTCTTGAAAGTCTGCGAATCTGCTTTCCCTCAGCGATTCTAAGATTTGTGCAATTCTATAATCCTTATCCATGTAAATTTCTCCAAGTATCATGGTGCTAAACTTGCATGCTAAATAGAATACTTTGCCGTTGAGGTGTAGAATTCAGATTCTAAAATATCCGTATTAAATTTAATATCAAAACACGACCTGACACCTGTGGCTATCATGACTGCATATTTACATGTACCGCGTGCAGAGAACAGGTAAGGCCCCCTGGTATTCCTTTCTAACATCCAGGTCAGGCAGGTCTATATTTACGCTACAAATTGTTTTAAATTTGAGTGCATTTCAATTTTTATACACCCACATTTTCATGTGGACATATATTGTCGTCACCCCTGTCGTCCGTCCACAATTGTTTTTGAACACTCCAGAGGTCACAATTTTTATCCGATTTCAACGAAACTTGAAATATAGGTTTATCACCCTAAGATCTCAGTTCCTTTCGATATTGGCATGTATCGGACTGTAACTTCATGGATTATGGCCCCTGATTGTACGAACAATCACGTTTTTAGCTTGTGAACACTGTAGAGGTCCCAATTTTTATCCGATTTGGTTTAAACTTGAAATGTTAGTTTAAAACCCAAAGATCTCGGTTCCTTTCGATATTTGTGCATATCGGACCATAACTTCCTGAATTATGGCCCCTGATAGTACGAAAAATCGAGTTTTTAGCTTGTGCACCCTATAGAGGTCATAATTCTTATCCGATTTAAAAAAAACATTTTAATATATCACCGTTATACCCTACGGATGGTTGAGTACGATTTTCGTGAAAACAGCCCAAAACTGACAGACAAAATAGCCGTCCGTCGTTCTCAAATAGCGTAAAAATATGGTATATCAAGGTTGTGGACCCTCTAGAGGTCACAATTTTGATGAAACTTAAAATGTAAGTTTATGACCCAAAGATCTTGGATCCTTTCGATATTCGCGCATATCAGACCATAACTTCCTGAATTATGGCCCCTGATTGTACGTAAAAACGCGTTTTTTGGCTTGTGGACTCAATAGAGGTTATAATTTTTATCCGATTTAAAAAAAACCTTATTATTATATCACCGTTAAACCCTTAGGACGTTTTTAGCTTGTGGACCCTATAAAGAAAGGTCATATTTTTTATCCGATTTAAAAAATAATATTATATCACTGTTACACCCTAAGGACGACCGTGTTCGAATTTCGTGAAAAATGGCCAAAAACC